CCATGCTGATGATGCTCATTTAAAAAAAAGTGTGTTAATTAAATTTGTAACTGAACTCCTTGGGGGAGAATTGTATGTCTCCTGTTCTGCTTTACCTGGATTCTGCCATATATTTCATGTTATAGCAGTCTTGAATGATGACCCAGCACATGTTCATTTTAAGAACACTTTCACAGCAGATTTGACAAAACGCAAAAAAGGTACCAATGTGAGATTACTAAGGATAGATACAGTACTCGACCAAAGGCTTAAGAATCTGAATTGCCTTCCAAAATCTGAGAGGGACGAGGTGTGGCGCACGTTTTCAGAATTCTTAAAAGAGTAACACTCAGATGCAGAAACTACAGAACCCAAACTATAAAAAAAGAAACTCAACCTTCTGCTGGTGGCATCTGACTCAGATAATGAAAATGAACATGCATCGGTCTGGTCTGCTTTGGATTGTTATCAAGCAGAATCCCTCATCAGGGTGGTTGAAGCATGAAGGGACATATGAATCTTTAGCGCATCTGGCATGTAAATATCTAGCGATGCCGGCTACAACCGTGCCATTCAAACACCTGTTCTCACTTTCAGGTTACACTGTGAACAAGAAGCGGACAGCATTATCTCCTGCAAATTGCAACCAAACTTGTTTGAGCAATTGTCTGAAGTAGGACTGAGTGGACTTGTAGGCTCTAAAGTTTTACATTGTTTTATTTTTGAATGCAGTTATTTTTCTGTACATAATTGTACATTTATAAGTTCAATTTTCTTGATAAAGAGATTGCACTAAAGTACTTATTAGGTGAATTTAACATATTTCTTTTGTTTTTTACAGTGCAAATATTTGTAATAAATATAAACTGAGCACTGTACACTTTGTATTCTGTGTTGTAATAGAAATCAATATATTTGAAAATGTGAAAAAATCCAAAAAAATGTAAATAAATGGTATTCTGTTATTGTTTAACAGCATGACTATTATTTGTAATCGCACGATTAATAGCAATTAATTTTTTTTAATCCCTCGACAGCTGTAGTGTAAACATGTAAAAAGAATTTCTTTAGCATGCTTAATAATTCTGGTAGCCCAGATACAGACCTTGTGGGTCACTGCCTAATTCTATATATTCTGATATCACCCTCATCACTGTAATACAGGGTTCGGCAACCTTTGGCACGCGGCTCGCTAGGGTAAGCACCCTGGTGGGCCGGGCTGGTTTGTTTACCTGCCGCGTTCGCAGGTTCGGCCGATCGCGACTCCCACTGGCTGCGGTTCGCCGTCCCAGGCCAATGGGGGCAGCGAACCACAGCCAGTGGGAGCCGCAATTGGCCGAACCTGTGGACATGGCAGGTAAACAAACCGGCCTGGCCCGCCAGGGTGCTTACCCTTGTGAGCCGCGTGTCAAAGGTTGCCAATCCCTGCTGTAATATGTGAGCTCCTTCCAATAGTGCTTTAAGCAGAGAGAGTAACATCTGTCACATGTGATTTGTTCTCTTTAATTTTCTGGCAAGGGGGAAAATTATGTATGGTCATTTTGTTTTGGTAGGGTTCTGGTTTTGGGTTTTTGGTTTTTTTAAATGTGCATGCTGTTTTGTGTGTGTTAGAGAAGGCTAGATGGAAGAAGTGTGCCTCACACTTGAAGTGGAAGATGGTGAGGTTTGTGGTGGTGTATCAGTTGCCCTCCTGCACAGATGAGCTTTTATCTTTATGGTAGAAATTTCCATTTTGCCTGAGGAGTGAAGTTGCCATTAGCTCCTGTGGGAGCCTAACCAC